TTTAGAAGTGTGCTTACAGAGAATATGGGCCCTGATGATAAGCCACTTAACCTGTGTCACAGTATGCGTCCACATATTAAATTTTGATATTTAAACTCCAGCATTTAAAATCAGTTCCCCATAAAGAGAAGTCGTTTTAGTGACAGAGACTCTTGATATTCTCCCTATCAAATTACCTTGTTTTTATCATTTAAGCGTTATCACGCAATAAGTCACTCTTAACAAAGAAGTAACGTTTACGGTTTGATCGGCTAGCAATTAACTTTGACAAACCTTCGTGGTGTAGACTGTGCCTGAAGGCAGGGTTAAAAATAGCAGGCGTTAGCCCAAAGTTTCCGGAAATGATGGCAATGCCTGTCCATCTCCGGTCTCTGACAGATCATTCTTCTACCCAGCACACACAATAACAAAATTGCCACTGCACTCAATGAAGCGTGGGGGTATTTACGCGTGAGTGGCTTTTACGTTAAACTTGAATTATAAAAATTAGGCAAACAATAACGCGTCAATGAAATGATAAATATCTATTACATAAAATCATTTAAACAAATAAGTATTACCTCGATGCTAATTATTTTCTAATCAGACATTCAATGACAGTCTTTGGTTTTTCAAGGTGTCTAAACCCTTTAAAGGAATACAGTTTTATGAAATTAGCGGCAGTTGTTAAAAATTGACACCTTTCCTTACAGCCACATTTGCACACTAGTCAAGTTTTTACGGGTATTGTTTACAGCTTTATTCTTATCTACTCCCTCCTCCTTTTTCTGCTAGCGTTCTATGCTACCTACTTCGACCTTGAATGCAGCCACCTACACCGTTTTGATATTAAACCGCTACAACAACCACTAGATAACGTTTATATGCTTTAATGTCTCATTGTTAAAATGGATTGAATAATCAGGGAAGCTCTGATAAATTTATTGTAGCAGTGTGACACAAAATGTGTTACCCAAAGCTATCATTTTCGTGGTGGTTACATAGCACATTGAATTACCGTACTTTGATATTTCAGAATTTGTCAGCATGCTAATCCTCAACACATACGTGCCTATCGTAAACCCTGGACAGGTTTTGATGCCCACTGTGAATAATATATCCTTGGAATTTGTCTAGGATGACGCTGAATGTGGAAATATTAGACCACGCCTAGGATTATACCTTGTCACGCCAACTTACAATGCCATTATAAATGTCGATGTGGCTTTCCAAAATGAATTTCGGTGTGCAAATTTTAAGCCACAAGCTTCCCGTTTGAGGACTCAAAGGTTTTTAACTGCATTTTGGGAAGAATTGAGTGTCATACAACGTAACCTCAAGATCCATGGGATCGTAGGCAGTTTTTATTTTACTTTCTGTTAATGCTAGACACAAGAACTTTTAAAGGATACTCCTAGGATAATCTTTTTATCTCAACAGAGAATTTCTCTAAACAAATACGTTATCTAATTATCCTCTTGATAATGCAGAGCACTAGGTCGACTGAATTTGTTTATGCTTTCGAAAGAAGATTCAAGTGTTGAGAGAGAGTTTGTTTTTACTGGAAATTCATGAACAAATTTGCAACCTGAAGGTTTGGTAGACAAGCTCAGTTATCACCGGACAAACTCATGACAGTATGGAGTGGCTACAACCGATACTGTGCCCGTGAGTTATTAGTATAGAAACAAATAGTGGGCACATTCCCGCCTTCACTTTGGAGAGGGAGAAAATATGTTAATTCCAGCATGGACGCCCAGTTCTGCTGTAATAAATTCGTAGTTCTATTTAAAGACCAAACTGTGGCCATCAACTTCAGTCCCTTTAATCTGTCAAAGGGGTGCTACAGCGTTATAAAAGCAAAACATCGATAAGAACTGCGACGTTCTCTTCACAAAACATTCGCGTTTTGTGGCCCGAATCCAAGCACAAGTGTAAGGTAGGTGAACTCAAATTGCTGAAGTCAATGCATGAGAAAGCTAACGCAAGATTTTGCGCAGTCTGTTGAAAGCCTAGGCCTATGCATTGGTTTTAACAATGGCACGCAATTAATGTAACTAAATCTCTCTGACGTTCTGTTATTGAGTGAGAGGTGACTATATGATCATAAAAAGGGTAATTTAGTAAAAACAACAACCAATTGACGTCCCACGCATCAGATTTCGTCCAATTTACCAAGTAGTTTGGTGCCTTTAAACACACATAAGAGTATCGAGAATCGTCTTAAAATTTAGTAGGGATATTTATAACGACCCCTATCGGGGTTACTGCACTAAAAAAGCGTTCACAGTCGCGTAAACAGTCTTTTCGCTACTTGCCGTGACTCTCACGGCTTTGTTAATCCTATTTGGCCACCAGGACATCGATCCATTGTGGATTCCTGCTTTGGCCTATTAGGGATCTTCTAGGCTCGTCTCAAGTGGGTTTGTGAAGTATATTGCACCACAAAGTTGGCACACTCAGCTAATCGCCACGTTTCAAAATTTATTTAAGTTTTAACCTGCCAGGACTCTGTGACAAGTCAGTACGTTTTCGGACTACTTATAGGAATAATATTTATAAAATACGGACACAGTGTCATACCATCAGTGTAAATATGAATAGTTTTAGCACTCACCCCTCACACACAATTCACTTTTTGACAAATTTGTGAGGATGTTCTAACAGCTACGGGACGTAGAATTCGTTTAACGCTTATAAAAACACTACCTCAGAAAACAGCACGTGCTGCCGTAATATTGTGGCAAGGAAGTAAAGTGTGAACCCCAAAAGCAGTGAAGGTAAAACGTAAAATCAGGCCGTAAGCAAGATATTACTGAAAAAATGTTTATCAAGTGGATTAATAAATAATCTCTTAAGAAAGTGGTTCAGTTTGAATTGATGCTTAAAATATAGAAAACTTTGAACAATGAACGACTTTAGGTAAAGAAAATGAAACGAAATTCTGTCTCTTATCATTTATAACATCCAGGAAAGTAAGGTATTTAAATAATTGACAATCGTCAACAGCTTTTACTTGCCATCTCAGCCTGTTGAAAGAGCGTTACATTGCTGCTGCATAGAAGAGGATTTTCGCCTTTGTCCTCGTGGAGTCAGGTAAGTTTTTCCTGGTCTCACGTTCTTTTATCACAAAAAATTCCTCTGCGTTTGAATCCGTCAAAGACAACAAGAGATGCGGGTTTTTAAGTGTTTTGCCCAAGGAAATGCCAGAAGGAACAATTTGATTAAATTCTCAGTGCCAAAAGTTAACACTGGAACTCAAAGAGCGGAAAACCTTTTCTTTTGGTAAATTGAAATTGTTTTGGCAACAGTAATATTTGTTTCGTTCAGCAGACGTTATTTTACGCCACTACAACTCACACCTCATCAACTCGCTTTGCTGGTTACTTGCCTCATTCACAAACTGTTGTTCAATTTTCTCCTAAATAAAGTAGTGTATCACCGCTTGGAGTACAGCAAAATTTATCAACCCTTTACGTTGCCCTGATTTTCCAACGGAAGAAGTCTAAAATGGTACAGTCTGCCAATGGTCTCCATCGTAAATCTCAAATCAAGCTAAATACTCAATTCGTCAACGACCACAACATACCGCCATCATTGTCGGATGTGTTGTAATGGGTTCCATCCTATCGACTCTTCTAACTTTAACTGTGGTCGAATAATGTGAGGTACCTCAAAGAAAACTCGACATGTATTTATGACCCTGTGACTGCAAATGCATCAATGGTCCTAGTTACTGGACATATCTTACTTTATTCGATTGTGCTGTATCTAGGCGCCGTCAGCGATTTACCTTTGGACAGTTTCGTTTTTTGCAAAAGCCAAAAATTTAACCTAATATCTGTGTCCGGTAATTTTTGCTCACTAGACTTAGCTCATAGACTATGAAAATTATGATACCTTTACGCATAAATTCATTTAGACTATATCTCATGACATTTCTTTTTAATGATCAGTTTTCGCAGTCCCTGGTCTTTATCTACCTAGAAATTCCAATAAAGGGATTACTGCAAAACGGTTAATCATCGAAGTAAATAGTTCAAAGCTGGGTTTATTTACAGTTAACCACAAGACCACAAGACCAAATTATATGCCAGTCTAGTTTAGATTAACACAAAAAACGAGTGTTTGCTATCCATTTTACATCTAAATGCCTTAAAAAACACAGTTTTGCTATCTTCTATGCGGTGCGTTGAGCTCATTGTGATATGCGATTCCACTGCATTATAAACTAATTTTATTAAATCTATGTAAATCCGCCACTAAAGTGACCGAAATGCTAAGCAGGATATTGGATAATACACAATTAATTTGTTCCTCCCTTCCATGGGGAAACGTTTTTCAACACCGACACTCATGTTATGTACACAACGGGTACATTACGTCGTGGTTGGGAAATTTCCTGGCGTCGAGACTTTTCAGATAAGCATTCGCCGACAAATAAAAGGGAGGATTTTTCCGCTATGACTAATTTGAAAATTTTGGTGCACATAAAGTTGCCCTTAACGTTCAGATGTGCTCTTATTTTGTAAGATGTTTGAGATAACTGACTAGAACTGACTGTACCATCCGTGAGCATGGTGTAATGAGTTGATAAAGTAGCGTTTGCTCATTGCATCAAGATTGTTGTGCATAGTTTAAAAATGAAATGCAGCAAGTTGTTACGTCACTGGACATGTCCTTTTTACGGTACTGGATTTGAAGTCATGAAACGGTTAATTATTTTGTTTGCTAAATTCTTTTTTATATCTATTCTACAGCAATAGTAACTGATGATGATTTACAGAAACAATCGTTTTAGAAACCCAAAGGGAATTTAATATTGCCGCTTAAGAATGAACTTGTAAAAGTTGATAATACAACAGCACGATTCCCTTTTTTTGTCAGGAGTGAATCAGCAATCACTGAAGGGTTCTAGTGGTACATGAAATCACTTTTAAAGATAATCTAAGTGTGCCTTGAGCATAACGTTCTACTGAAGCAGATTATAGATTGAAGTGGTTGCATTTTTACCGATTTCAATGATCACCATTTCTTCAATTAAAGAAACAATACGGGAAGGAGCATTCACCTGTGGTCCTGGGACCTCTGAGGTTGTAATCGACACAGCGATGTCCGGTACCTTTCACAGTCCAGGATGGCAGGAACCCTACACGCCGGACACTCGATGTCTCTTCCGATTCATGGCTCCACCTGGTCGAAAGGTGCTCATTGAGTTCTCCTTCTTTCACGTAGAAGGCCTATTTCCTTTGTAAGTTCATCAGTGTCAGCTGTTACATTTTAAAAAAAATAGGAATATTTACAAAGGTATTTTGGGCGAATTTAAGGTAATGAATAATATTTAGAGATTACCAAAAGTAGAGCCCTCGTTAAAGTCATGCATCAAAGGGTTAAGCTAATTCCAAAAATATTACAATTAATTGGCCATGGTATTCAAGGAATCAACAAACCCGAGGTAATTAAGGCTGAGCAATCGCACAAACATTTTTTAATAAATTCGTGTTGTTGCGTCATCAAAATAATGAATTCAATCCCAAAGCTGCGCACAATGCTATCTACCCTCCTGTAGTTTGCTATAATAGAGTAATAATCTAACTTCTGCGTTGTTTCATCCAAAACTTACAGAAAGGAGTGCCAAAAGTTAACAAGTACAAAATGTTAGACCAGATTACTGTTACAGTCAAGAATTTTAACAGCTATTAATTAAAACCTCAAAACTGGGACAAGTTTGATTACATTTTGGTACAAGTTGCAAGAGCTATACAAACTTGGACAACAATCTCGGACACCTTAGATTAGCTTGAAAGTAATCATTCAATGTACTTTGTTGTTTATCTGTGATAAGTGCAGGAAGTGTATGGGAGTGTATGGGAGAACCGTAGCAGTTAGTGTGATGCTTTGATAGGACGCCTTGAAACCTTAGAAATTGTGATTGATATTTATTTTGCGCAATTTGATATTCGAAAAATTACTTAAGTAACGGCAAGAAATAGCTTATTATAGGTCTATTATTCTCCAATACAAGAAAGTAAGCCCACAAAAAATCTTAAATACGTAAGAAATTAAAGAATTCATATCTTTTTTCATGCTGAACTCCCCCAATGTGATTTTTACAGACCTTTTTCAAATTGGAAACATTTTATTAGATGATAAGCATTAAAATCAATTTGAGTAATTATTATATCTAGAAATTACCACCATTTTGCAATGAAATCTACTGAGGAGATTTTAAAGTGTTGTTAGTGACAATGGCGTACATTTTTTTCTATTAATCCACGAGGAAAGTAGCGGATAAACAAATTTTAAAAGTTACCAAGTGAGAATTTCTCATGGATGATTTTAATAAAGATCTTGTTTAAATGCCGAAATCGAAGAAAAATTCTGTTGTTAATTGCTGCAGCCTTCCTCCTGCTTTTTAGTTGATCAAACATCGGATTTTTGTTAACCTATAAGATACACAAATCTGTATTGCCAAGCTCGCAAGTAAACATAGGTGTACGACCTCAAAATGCGGAAGAGCCTAATCAGACATACTGATTGGATAACGGATGCACTTATAGGCCAAGGATCTGGACATGTTTTCAAAAGAGTGGAGGAAATTTCACAAAAAGCCCTTTGTATTTGTTAAATCATGGGTAGGAAATAATCATTGAACTCGAGTCTCGGCTGGTCCAAGCCAATTCCTATAAATTCATTTAAATCAGATATTAGCTGTTCCGTTGCGGACAAAATTTCCCTATCTTAACCGCATCAGTTGTCCTGTAGCATAGTGCAAGTTACGTTTAGTGGCAATTTGTTATTAATGTGAGAAAATATAAAACGCCGCGAAGAAGAACCAAATGAAATAGCATTCAAAATATTTTGCAGATACAGCAGGTTTTTCCATTTATTAATACTCATTATTTTTTTTCAAATTTTTACTTACGCAACATTTTTTATTCTTACTTACATAATTGTTCATCGTCTTTGAATAATGTTGTGTTTCTTTTTTTGCGTTCATTTGCACGTTTTGTGGCAGGAACTTTGATTTTTATTTGCCAAAAAAACTGGCAGCAAGGAAATTTCGCTATTTCGTGTAATTTTTCAGTCGCTATTGCCAAGAAGTTGCAGACTGAAATGTATAAATGTTGTTATTGCCAACCGGGGAAATGTAATTCAGCCGATAATTTGACTTGGAAATAGGTGTAGTTTAATGCATAATTTCGACAAAAAAAATTAGAGCAACATAAATGGAGGTATCGGGATGTTTGCCTCATTTGTGAATGCCATTCATACAGCTGTTCCATCGGTCGCACAAGGAAGCAAGAAAGAACGTGCCAGAAGGAGATATTACAATTATACAAATATCCAATGCACTACTTCAACATCCTCTTTGGGTCAAAGTAAAAGTGAGGCAAATTTTTAAACCATTCTAGTTACTTCTAATACAAACTTATAAGTACACATCCACCATTCTTCTAAACGGCCTTGTGGTATGGAGGGTACGAAAGTGTTATTTTGCAAGTGGGGCCCACAATTAAGCCTAGGAGGCAAAAGAAAAAGTCAATATGTGTGTGATAAAGAAGGAAGTTATAATTGCAGGCTCGCTAGGCAAAATACAGTAATTCGAAATTTATTCCATTACAAGTACTGAATTGAGTAAAAATACCTTGCTTTGTGGAATTGGTATTTGCCAAATCATATCAGCAATATCCACAAAGAAGTCTTCCGATCAATGGAATGGATTCAGTTGAACCGTACTTTTAAAAAAAGGACACATGTTTAGAGAATATATGAATTTTTATTTCAAAAATGGTGGCCTAAATACATTCGAAAGCGAAATAATGTGGGTTCCTTAATTCAAAACATAAAAGTCACAGTTGGAACTGATCAAGATTTTGATCACTGATCAATGGCAACTAAGATTGCGCCCAATTTGACTATAGTTTCAGCTGTAGGTCGAATAGCTATATTATGTGCCATGTGAAAGCATTTAAACAAAGTAATCTATTAGAAATAGATAAGATTTTCCTTGGCAACGTGACGCAGACTCGCGCGACGTTAGGAGTCTGGCAGTACAGTGAAATATCTGACAGAATTGACCACAAAGTTGTTCAGAAGCTCCTTAGGGTGTGGTTACCACAGATAATCTCGATTTGAAATGCACTGTTTAAACCTTTCTAACTTACCGTTCCTTCAACAAGCCTTTTTGAACTACTAGCATATCTTAGATCATAAAAAGACTCTCGGCAACCCAGAAATAGCAAAGAACAAAAGAGAGCGAATAAAGGGTTAGAATAAAATCACTACCGTATTTGCTTTCCTGTTTTTTACTACCAGTGCATAGTTCTTAAAGGAAAAACCACTCAGAACCATAACGGTTGGACGTCTCGAAAAATTGTACATTGCAAAGGGAGTTAGCGTACGAACTATAGAGTCGCTTTCCAATCCATGCATTTTAATTTGCAAAACCATAATTAAATCCCAAAAAAAACTGTGTACACATTCCGAGGAAGTTTTATGTATTAATAAGGAAATCTACACAAAATCTCCAGAACTTTAGAATTAAATTTTCGGCCTACGTCGCTGTTGGTCTGGATAATCGAAATAGCGATGAACTGTTACAAATGGATTTTCTCCATGTTTTAATTGGCAGAGACAAATCCTGGTGATATTATATATATTGCCCTGAGTTTTTCGAGATTCTGAGGTGATACCAGCAATCAAGTAACTAACGGAGCAGTTTACTTTTGGTGTGTCAGATGCATTTTTTGCAGTTTATAAGGTCAAAAATTGCAATATTCTTTTGTGTCAGAAACCTAACGTTTGTATTGCAACGACAAAAACCAACTTTTGCTACTCTTATAAGTTGCCACAAGGACTTTCTCGACGTCTACACTGACCTTGCGTCGTCGCAGCCACATAGTAAAAAAGAGGAGATCCATTTCCTGGCCTACCTTCAAGAAGCCCAGGAACAAAAGACCACCACCCCCTTCTCCGCACTTCTCTTTTCCTCAGTGCTTTCTCGGTCACAACTCCTGGGTCGATTTTGTGGCTGGCACCGACACGGTGCAGAGATCATTCCCCAGCATCTCGTCTCGGTTCATCGCGAGCTAGTTCTCGACTTCTTTGCAGCTCCTTCAGCTAGTAAAGCGGGTGAGCTGGAGAACACCCACAGAAGGAGCAGAACATATGGATTCAACGGAACCTTCAAATTCATTCCCGATGGTTAGTTGGCAGAATGCTTTTCACCCTGTCATTATGTAAGCTCTAGTGCTAGTTACAAAGAATGTACCTGAAATGTAAACTTTTACTGCCACTAATGTTGAGTTTGAGTGCGTTCTCTAAGGAATACGATCTACTTTGTTGGGAATGCCAAACAGAGTTTTATTGCAGTGTGATTTGCAATATAAACACCAGATAGCTCTTTAAACCAATTCTAATGCAGCCTTGTTAATATATAGAATGCTTCACGAATTAACCTTTTTTGGTGTGTATGTCTGCTAAATTAAGGACATTTTAGCGTCGTGCATCGTGCGTCGCTTTGTAAAGGTATCAATATAAATAACGCTGCCGTGTGCTTTCCTGAACGATGTCAAAACGCAAGGAAGAGATGCTATGTATTCTTCTCTTTTTATCTAGGGTAATGCTCATTTGTGCCATTTTAGATCTTTATTACCCAGGGAAGGTCGCATCTATTCCAGACATTCCACCTCTACCGTCGGAATTTATCAACGAACACTACGATTCAAATCCTATGCAGCTAGGCTCTAGTGAATCCATTTGCAAATTCCTGATTCAACCGAAATCGGGAATAGACAGCCAAAGGGGGGAATTTGTCTCCCCAGCCTACCCTGGTTTTCATCCCCCAGGATTAAAGTGCCTCTATGCCTTCCGCGGACGACCCAATCATCGAATCAAAATTGAGATTCACGATATGGGCTTGCCTTCACCTTTAGAATCGTAAGATTTGACAAGTTGTGCTGTTGTGTAACAAACTGATTTGACAAATTTAAATTTTCATACGCAAGTTTTGTGTTGTTGATGTGATTCAGTTTGGAGAAACTAGGGATCGTTTTTTTGCAGAAAATAAATGTTAAAGAGTAAATGAATTAACGAAGTCCAGTCACACACATAATTTGATATCGCTATTGTGGAATTTTTATTTGCATGCGTGATTGAGGATACGCACATGAGGAATGTTTCGACGAGAATAAACCTTTTAGTAAACGTATGCCTGTATGCACTACTTTCTGGTTTATTTAGAGCATTAAAACTTTTGTATCCAGCTTTTCAGTGCTATTGTTGACTAGATTAAGATCTAATTATTCGATTTAATGATGTTGCAAGTATGGTGGGCAATTTAAAACACAGATAACCAAAAGGAAATTCTTTAAAATAAGGCCTTTCGCTTCTATTCCGTCAAGAAGTTGCCTGGGGAAGCCATGGGCAAGAAATACCCTCCGGTACTAAGCAAACAAACACGAGCAATATATGGCCGTTTAATCTCAATGGGAGTTTTATCAAACCAAATGATCACTAAGAAAACAAATCTTATTCGGTTTTGTTGGCAGGTACGTATGCTTTCGATTGCGCTCATACATTAGACCATCAAAATTCTAGTTCACTCTTGGGTTCTACCTGCTTATTGGAGTTGTCGAGTTTTTTCTACTTTGGAAAGGGTTTGCCTGTAGGAAGGTTGGTCCTAACGACAAGCATGATATTAGTACTATATACAATACCAAAACACCGATTTAATTCTAAAGTAGTACTCAGTCTATAAATCAAGTCATATTTATTATCACGACAACTACCAGTGAAATGTCAACTTCTTTTGGAATTTCTTGCAAGAAATTTGATTTGGTCGTTAACTTATTTCCACAATTAATGATCTCTAATTTGAGCAGATTAGCATAACACATTTAAATGTGGTTAATCAGTAATCAGTTGTGTAGCATCACAGATCCACAATCAATGATCAAGGTCTGATTTGGTAACCCCAAAGCGCATTTACTATTAATAGCTATTAATGATTTTCAACCAAGAATATGGATTACAGACACGTAGTTATATGATTATTTTACAGATTACAACAACGAGTAAATTAATGTTTAAGTTGGTTTTCCATCATTTGACACTTTGAACGCCTCGTCAGAATTACTTACACATGCTGTGATTTTTTTACATTAAAAACTTGTTTACACACTTTCCTGGATAATGGTTTACAAATTGCTGAAAGTTAAAATGCAAAAATAACAACCATCGGTGATAAACAAATTGCCAAAAATGCAGTAAACATTTGTCTGTTAATGTCACCCGTGAATTAATTAACTGGGTGATATTAACACCTTACTTATGCAGCCCCTATGTCCTCCCTTTGGTTAAATAAAAATGTAAGTGTTTTGTACATCAAGATCACGTAAATGAAATGTGCTTCAATTTGCCATCACCAATTTCGATCCGGAAATTTTTCTGCTTGGTAAGAACTTATGGTAATGGGTCATGTGGTGAAATAATGTCGAACTTTCACAGAAAAGGCCATTCAATCATTTGCTTAGGTAACGATTTTTTCTTAGATTGAAATCTGTGTACGAATAAACAAATTTTTCCCTTATTCATTGCGACCTCGAAGAGTCTAATGGACTGCTCTACTCTTACGTTTTTTCTATTTAGCATGAGGTACACTCTTGATGGTACAGCGATTCAAAAGATACTAAAGCTGAACTTCCTCAACCATTTCTGTGTAGTGGTTGTTCTAATTGTGCCATTAGCTTGTCCTACGTAGTCATGTTGATTTTCTGCTACCGATTGCTTCTCAAAACAAGCTGGTATTTATATGGCTGAGCGCAACTGAAAAATGCTTATAATTTGGGAAAACGTCCTGCCATTTTAGATATCTTTGATTGGCTTGAATGATACAATAAGATAAAAACAATGAATGGCATGCAACGCCACTTGAACAGACCAGATCATTGCCTAATTTAATGGAAACGATGACAAACTCCTCAACGTGGACATTTCTATAAATAATAAAACGACAGTTTTGAAATGACTTCTATGAATCGAGATGCATCACAAAGACACGCTTTTAAGGACGTGTGCTTTATCTAGGCACTGAGAAAACTCTATTAGCATCTATGAGGTTGATAACAGAAACGTAAACAATGAGTGAATGAAGGTCAGCAGAGAGACATTTGATTTCAAAGTGTCAAAACGAGCAGTTTTGAAGGAGTTAATTAATCGGATTTAAAAACTAAGCTCATTGCTAGTCAGTAATGGTCATAAACTCCACAGTTTTCTTCTAACAGTATGCTTGTCTGCTAGTAAACGACGAAAAAGGAAACGGTAGTTTGCCAATGCGACACAAGGTCTCGAAGCTTCATGAACTAATAGTCGAAAGTAATCCATAACTCACTTTCCAAAGTGTCGTAACGAGACTTTTTGAACGAGATAATCAATTCTAGAAACTAGACACTCGTGATTAGTCAGTGATAGTCACGAACTCTAAGAAATCAGAGCTTCCTTCCAACATTCTACTGGCCTGTGGACAAACGACTTAAAAGTAAGCGGTATTTCATCAACTCAACTCTTAGGACACAAAATTTCTGAACTCATTAGTAGAAAATCATTTCATTTCCACATATCAATTCTCGAAGAACTAATGGCGGTATTGTTCGTAAGGACTTCAAGATTTGAAGTGATGCCGATAGTGGAAGTAATGCATTATTTGGTTCACTACTTTTGACCTTTTTAAAAACTGTTTTTTGGTACGGAAGCTATTCCAGGTTTTAAAATTTACACGCGATTTATAAACTCGAATCACATATTCAACGGCTTTTGAGCAGCTCATTTTCCATCAAAACCATGTAATAAACAAATCGCAAAACAAAGTTAAAGTTGCCTATGATGCATTGATAATCGAAGTTTTTGGGGATGGTTAAATTATGAAAAATCTTTGAACCATATATTACCTTTTACCAGAACTTGATTACAAACAGTCAAGGACAATGGCGACCAACAATCGCAGTTGCATTCCATAGGAATGAATAAATCACTATAACCCACAATCAATAGCCAAATAAAGACTTAGGATTTCCTTCAGTATACTCTTTTCGAGTTAATGAGTTGTTAAGAAGGGAATCACGCTTAACAAGGTGATCAAAGTTAATAGTAACACACAAATATGGTTGCACTGAGGTTGCTTCAAAAATTTCTCTTGGCTTTGAAGTTGGTTTTTACAGCTCCAAGACTTTAATTTGGGATTGTGTGGCAGTGGAGACGAATCATTTTATTATTGCTGTTAATATTAATATTAAAGTTTGGATAAACACACTGCCTTTTTAATTGGAGTTATCAGTTAGGAATGTCTCAATTAAGTTAGTGTAAACGGCCATTGTTATTTCGATATGACAATGTACATAGAGAGAGTTCTTCCACTGTAGGTGACACAAAATAATGGTCGATGTCTCAAGCTAAAATGTTAACTGTCCTTTCTAAAAACCTTGTGCCTATTCATTGTAACCCTATAACACCGGAAGTGGAAGCGACATAGTTAGGAAGATAATCAACTTGAACAAGCAGCCACCTACGTGATACATTTTTTGATGGCAATGTATCTAAGTTAAAAAGGATAATCAACGGTGCGAAGGAAGTGCTTGTATAGTAACTTAATAGAGTCCGAGTTCGTAACATTCATTTGTTGTCACCATCCCATCAGGATACTTATTTAGTAGCATGCATTTTTTTGTCTTCATTTATTGCAAAAGAGCATTTATTGTTCATTTAAAAACCCTGCAGCCTCACAATCACATGAACGTGTGGCGCAAACATTCCTTTGAGATTTCGTTTGATGCTTGTTACAGTGAGTTTGATTATATTCTAATGAGGCCTTAACTGATCACGGGGATACAGTTATTACAAGTGATTAAACTGGAATTTTACGGAACTGGTGAAGTTCCGCATTGTTTTGATATTAAGCCTGTCTAATACCATGGCTTGCATTTCTAAAGCAAACTTGGCTTTTATTTTTGGTGTCATGTCAATTATTCCTAAAAACAATCAGGACTGCTTTAAAATAATTAATGCATTTATTGACTGCAGGTCTTTGTTCGCGCAGTTGTTTCATTCAGACCTTCCTTTCGATTAACCTCTGGGACATTGTAATAATCTAGAAATCGCAGACATTGCATCCTCTCATGTAAAAAATCATACCGTCTAGAATTTCACGGAATTCGGGCGTTCTTGTGTGAGAGCAATTTAGGATAAGTAAAATCCTTACTTATCTACGTATTGTTCTATTTTAGTTGTCCTACTGACTATATACAGTTTTTCGATGGCAACGACATCTTTCAGTCTGCACATCTAGGAGACAGGATTTGCGGAGAACAGAAAGGTCTTGAGCTATACTCAACGGAGGCCTCCTTGACTATGCTCTTCGTGACTGGATCCACAATCGAGAATGCAACCACCTCCAAGTACCGTGGATTCCATATTGCCTATGAGTTTGGGGACAAGTTTGTGCAAATCGATCCTGAATACAAGGAGAAGCATATCAGAGGAACAGGTGAGGTTTTTTGATGCATTTTAATCTGGTTTTTAGGGATACTCTTGCTGATTCTGTACTTCTAGTGACTTTGTTTTAAATGATCAACGAAAATATAACAATCAGATCACCTACTCCCGGAAATGTGTTCGCTGACTGATGAGTGATCTTTATTTTTAAGAAAGTCAACCCAAATGTTTTATCGTAGCATCCCAAAACCACTTCATTAACAAACATTTTCTTTACAACGTATTTCAAACATGCAGGTGATATTGTTTTCTGTTTTCAATCCAGTTATTAACTTGGCCTTAATTTCGTCAGGATGAACCTGGATTGCTTGTAATCTTTTGCTCGTTCAAATCTCATAACCATTTTTTTAGTTTTAGTGTGTGCCGCGTAATCAGATTGATAAATAGTTTTAAACTGCGGATAGGATTTTAGCCGCATCACAAATGCATGTCTAAACGTATAATCAGTTCACAAGGGACTCATTTGCAAAACTGGATGGCCAGTATTTTTCAGTTCCCAAACATTTATGGTTTCTGCAAAATAGTTCGAATGCGCATGTGTCCAACATTAAAATTTCTTTAGAAAATTGTAGGACAAAGGTGAGGTGAATTATGTATACCCTTAAGGACAAGTGAATGTTTTAGCAGACACCAAAGCATCATAAAAGGGGTTAATATAAATTTAGGATAGTTGGCCCCAAACCGATCCACAGGACACCTTAGCAGTACTGGGACGCGTAAACAATCCAATAATTTAAATCTGTAAATCCGATTCAAATATGTATTTTAAATAGCATTTGGATTTTTAGTTACAGATTGTGCAGAGACGCATGAGGTAAACTACAGCTGAATATTATTATCACCCACATTATTGTATAAATTACTAAAAAATAACAAATTAGCTTCACTGATACCTTGATTTACCACTACTAATAGTAAACAAAAACAAAATTGTGTAGTGGTAAAATGAATAATATATGTGAATGGCATTTTCAAATGCCACACAACAATATATGCCTAAGGGGCAATACTATCGGTGTTTCTAAGGAAAGAGGCGTTTTTACAAATTTTAATTTTAAGTTAGTGCCATTATTAACCTGACATTTCAAATAATAATTACGCAAAACAAAACAACGCATTGCAGCTTAGAACACATAATTCGATTCACAAATCACACAAAACCCCCTATTTAGCCTAAATCCAGCACACTTGCGGTAGATTTGTTAGGTAATTTTCATTAAATAATGTTGATAATTTATTCCATCACGTATCTCATTTGCAATCAACGCATGATAATTTGAATCGAAATAAAAGCCACGGAAGTTGGTGTTGTTAGCTCTTCTGAAAGTACCGAAAAACCTTACCCACAGACAGTTGAATAACAGCCCAGCAACTTTTGAAATGTCGGATGTTCTCAGTTGTGCAAAGTTTGGTAGTAAATAGTTTTCAAAATAAAATCAAACTTGGTTTCCTTTACCTTAAAGTGCATAACCGGTTTCATGAAGAGCTAGGACTCTTACTGCATTTTTAGCTTCAAATAATCACCAAATTTATGTCTATATTTGCATAATAATACCACTGCTAAAGAGGCGAGCCAATACCTTGTAGCAGATACGAACAACACTGGTGTTAGAAATGAGACTGCGTCTTACCAAAACGGAAGACACCTTTGTTTTCTTAGCATCTAAATCACTGATGTATACCAAACCTCACGCAGTCACAAACCACCCTAGTTTGTCACTACGCTTAGTTCCAAGACAGACCATGACTGAGTTTTCTGTTAGCTAGTTCATTGGTAATTATTAAACGCGAAACAAAAATTATTCTCAATTGGTGATAATGTTTGGTACGTGTGCAAAGCAACGGTTAGTAAACTCAGGGCTGAAATACAAAATGCATGGCAGCGACCCCACTCCAGTCATGAATCACGGAGGACGTAAATGAAAATTAGTCTCTGCCGTCTTGGCTTTGAAATCATACGTTAATGGTAATAAAGCGATTGTGGGAAAAAATCGGTTTCACGATTTTGTTTGTTATTCTAAAAGCAAACATAGGATACTTCCTCACCATTTTGTCTCGTCCATCAAAGTATGAGGTTATTTTGGCGAGGAAGAGTAGCACAGTTAACCTTAAAAGATGGTGTGTAGAGTGATTGTTTTCCACCGACGATGCAAAATGAATTAAGTTATAATCCCTTAATACCTACAGCCTATCCAATGAATGAATTTTACTTTAATTGACGAATAATCAGGATAAGTGGTCATTAGTAGGTGAAAATGGAAGAAGGGCCTCTTGTTAATAACTAACTTACCAAGTATATTAGACGGATACGATAGTTGTAGTGGACTGACAGCCGCCCCGCGCGAGTGTGCGTGCATGAAGGCCCGTGTGTAGCGATGACTCATCCCCTTTTGTTATTGATTTTTGCCAGCATTCGTCTGTTACGCACGCGTGCTCATACGCACACAAAGCCACTTGGCTGGTTCGACTCTAATAAACGGTCGTGTTCTCTGTCGCCTCCTTTTTCCTATCCTCGGGTAGCCACGGGCTGTTAACTAGAGGGTTGTAAGGTAGTGCTAAATCCTCTAGTCACTACATAGTTATGGATTAGAATTACAGGTTCATGTTTTTTTGCATTTGTAACGTCGCAACGCCTTCTCTCGTGGCATAATCAGCGTTTAATTTTCTCAGCACAAAATCAAACTTATTTCGGCCATTTCAATCCGTCGTAGATTACTCTTTTTACCTGAAAGTTATCATTGTCTTTTAGGAAACCTGTTTGGTATTGCTTCTCCATCTTTAAAGATAACCAAATCATTGGACTTATGATTCCGACTCCGCTTTTGTTGATATTGACGTGAATTTAGAGTTTCATTAAATGTTTCATTGAAAATATTAAAATATACTCTTAACTGTAGTTTTTAAGTATATTTAAGCAACCGGTTTGTTCTTTTGTAGAATGCGATTTCGTTATTAAAAGGAGAGTGGATTCTACAGCCGAACAGTCGCCAGAAGGTGTTCTTGAGTCACCGAATTTTCATTCTGGTCTTACAATCTCGCCCTCTCACTCATGCACCTTCTTCTTTCTTGGACGTCACGAGCAACAGAAAATGGAGTCCGTCCAAATCTCTTTTGATGTCCTTGATTTGCCTTCTGTCGGTCAAGGGGATGCCAGGCAAGACTTTTCAAAAATTATTCAAAAAAGTGCAATTGAGTGAACTTCTGCTAATCACGTCACTATAACTTAATCCTGCAGTGTGAATAGCCCAGTCAATAGCAGGTCAAGCTTTGAAACGATTTGTTTAATGTCAATTTAAAGTAGATGAATCATGAATTTTGACTTGGCATCAAGCTTTTTTTGCTCTTCTTTCAATATTTAATGGTTAGTAACGTCGTAAGAGAAGGCACACATTTTAACAAAGCGCAGTTTCTGTATTGAATGCTGCATTAAATGTAAACGAAATACCTTCAGTCAAAGATAGTGCAACCTGGAAGAATCTGACGTATTCTCTGAAAAATTGCGGTATTTTTTGTTGAGTAGGCAACTTGCCACTCAATTAGATCAGGTTCTTCCTAATGACGCGGATGTACCAAAAGTGTTTTTTAACAAGTCCGTGGCAACGATTTTGGCAACGATTCGTGAACTCAAGTTGATCATTAGGAGGGTATCGCTTTATGCTTCGTTTAATTCACGGCATCCAATTTAATATTCTGCAATAGATTAAAAATGCCCAATTATTTGATGAATCATTATGGTGAAGTTCAGTGTTCTAATACAGCCTAGTTTGAGTAGACGAATCCAAGTAAACCCGAAACTATGGCACGTAACCAATTTTTTTTCTCAAACATTTACAAATAAGGAAATCCATACACGTTCTGGGTAATCATGAGGTACTAGAACTAAGACGCGCCCACTTTATATTTCTCCTAGTTAAGTCCATTTTATGTTAGCAACCATTATGTTTACCCTAACGAGGCTGTAATTTAAAGCTAAATTATCTATACAGCTGATTTCATTGTCCTTTACCTACATAAAGCATAATTACGAAGATATGTGGTTGAATTTCAACTCTTGCCTGAAGTAAATCGAAGCTTCTGTTTTTGGACTTTGCGTGAAATTTAAATGAAGTTTAGATCCAAGATGTTTTATACTTAGCTGGCCGTGAAAATCTGAGCATCTTATGAGTTAAATTCTTTAGTTTCTTAGTTTGAGCTAAATTTGCTTGCGTTTTCTTTGCTTTCATGTTTTTTTATTCTGCTGGATCCTAGCGCCCCAGTGATTTAAATGGAACACTTGGTATTTTGTGATGTCTAAACGTGTTGTCGACCTCTTATTTCAAAACCTTGTCCACCAGATATTAAAACAAAAAACCGCAGAACGCCAGTATTTACCAAAACTACGCGCCTCCTCTGTTTGCTCTTGTTCACTCTAGGATATATGACGGGAATGCTTTGTTGTAAAGTGATAAGCAAATATCTAATGCTTTAACTACATAAGATAGGTTACCGAAGAGTTAAGGCGGTTTCCAAACTATCTGCCATGATTCTGTGTGATATGAAGTACCTTCACAACTGGTCACGTGGTTCTTCGAAAACAAACGGTTTTGGCTGGCTTTCAGGAATGGCATGCCGCATTAGATGAGATAAAGAGAGGGGTTTCCTCACACGCATTTCACTTTACAGAATATTAAAAGGCAGACATTAAAAGTGCGGGCACAAGGAAACTATGTCAGTATCAACTGCACAGTAGAGGGACATTTGACTGCCTTTAGAACTGGTTGTTTTGCATTATCACGATTATTTATAATTGTTGATTAACTAAACTTGGTGTTTTTCTCACTATTAGCTTCGTTTTAACTACACAAATGTTCGACCTATTTCTAAGAACGAGCCTTATTTTTCTTGGATTTGTATGTACATCGTAAGGGGTAGCTACTTAACAGCTATATAGGAAAGGAGGAAGAAAAATACATTTGCATAATCTGTCATACAACAGCGATTGTTGGCCAATTTAAGCAAGGATAAATGGCCTAAAAAAATTGCTAAAATTGCAAAATGATTTGATAGCGCAAGTCGAAAAAAACACACTTGACAATGACACGCGATTTGAAAATACAAAAGGAATTATAAAGTGGCTAGTGTAAACTAATTTTAACTCAAAGTTAGTGGATTAGAACTGATATCACTAGTCTATCAGGGGGTTCTTTAGAATCTCCACATTTTTCCTGAAGGCGACAAACGCTAAGGTAAAGCTTAAATAAGAGTTCCCGTTTGTAGAAATAACGCAGATTTTTGAGTTAAATTTACGTGAAGACAGGAGTTTTATATGATTCACTGAAACCCAGTTTTTAAATAACCTATTCACTCCACCTTCCAACGTCTCTCACAATTGTTCACCATATTTACTTGCAAACATTGTTTTTGATCTAAAGCGTCTTACGTGAGATGCAATGTGGCATTTTGGTATTTCTCTTTGCATCAGTTTAACACGTGCTTTTAGATGATTGGCTGCAGGTCACCACCAGGATCCCAAGTCTGAATTGGGCTTTTTCGCGCCAAGTGGCGCTGAAGCTACTTCATTAAACTTGAGTAGAGTTGGCGTGGGCTAAGACAGAGATCTATTTGAATTCTGTGGCTCGCGAAATTGACAACAGGCTATTATCTACAGGCTACCCTGGGCGACCTACAGCCATTAATTAGTCATTCCCTTGAGACACGGAGTGTCATAAAGAGACAGTGGCTTTTCAGATATCAGATATGCAACTAAGGGAAGTCTTTCTCGAATATCTAATTACCTCAGTTTGCCTTTAACTGATATTATTCCTAGTACTATCGCTTAACAGTGAACAAGGCACAAGAACGGTGATCAAGTACAAGAGATTGGTCACCCGACTAAAAAAACGGCATTTTGCACATTTCAATGGAGAGGCTTATGGACCTAATCTTGTTAAACAACATTAGATTTTGTTACAAAATCTAAAGTGAATGGTCTGCATTCTGAAAGTTTGCCTTGAGATTCCAATAAACTGTGTTCCATTTATAAATACTTTTAAAACATTAGCAAAATGGATGACAGCGCAAACAAGTTGGGGTGCATTTGTTCGAGGAAAAAAGTTACTGACTGCATCTACTTTTTCAGTATGTTTTTGCGCTTATCTACCTTTTAATTTGCCAAATGAACAAAGAGATCTGCGACGAAAACAATCAGTCTCCAACAATCCCAAAATTCCTCTCTGATAAAGCACCTACGTGACTAAATTTGAAGCAGTGGTTTGAGAGCAACATCACGGATCGCTGAATATCCACTTCTTTTTAGATGCAACGAAGGCTTTATGGCGGTTTACGGAGCTCGCATTGAAAACGATGATGAATTTAAGCTCCATCCCCTTCAACCATATGGGGTGTCTGGCTCGAAACTTGACGACGTGTGGAATATGGAATCCCTCTTTGCCTCCTCCGACACAAGCATGCCATTGAGGGCATCACAAATTTGGTGTGGAAACCAACTAGAGGCACTCAAGACAGGCAGCCAGGTGGATCACTCACCAATTGTCTCATTACGGTCTGCTTTGGCCCTCCGATTTAATGCTAGCGGCAGTTCTTCTATGAATGTGCGATTTCGGGCTTTCTACAAATTTCCACCTGGTAAGCCTCAAGTTATAAAAATATACCTGTCTTCATTCACCTGATTTACAAGTCCGTTTTATATTTTTGTCTTGGCTCTTGAGAATTTTGTAACACTTTTTACTCAGCATCATTTTTAAACTAATAAGTTATATGAATTCAAGTTGTTTGAACAATTCCATCGAATGGAAATAATAACAGGTGGCCTGTTCAGGCTAGCTTTAATGTACTTTTTGGATTTTATGAACCAATACATAGGTAGCTTAATTGGTTTGAACGTATTCAAACGATTTGTGAAGTTTAGGTGCAAATCAATGCATTTTGAAAACCGAAAGAGACAGCTTCGAGTGTTTTCACGTCTACTGCCCATTTTTCATAACGTAAATCTTTGTATTACAAGGGTTTACTTTTACGTCAAAACGACCGCACTAGAAAGGTTCACAATTGTGCAAGAAGTTGTGAGCTTGATTTAAGCGACTGGTTTATTGTTTCAGACAATTTACCGTTTTCTTTTAACTGCGCATTATGCCGAGCCAATCAAATTCTCCAGTTCTTGAATATAGAACTAGTATTTTAACCGATTAAACATTACTGAAACAGCACTTCTTGTCAAGGGTGTACTACCCTCACTTTGAAATTATAATGTACCTGCAAGAAAAATTGATTCCTTCGATCCACATATTTTAATAACCCATTTATCGAAGTAAGCAGTATTCAAGGAGCCTTATGTTGAAAAAATTGCAAATAAAGACCGTCAACAGTAGAAGCCTAATCAACCTTGATACCTTCGTAGTAATCTTAATAATAGTTACCGAAGCCTTCCAGATGGGTAAATTTATGTTTTTCTTCCAGAAATCTTAGGAAATAAGTGAGATCATTACAAACTGGTGCAACAAAAGAGGACAGTTTGATTCATCTTGCAGTTTATGTCATGAAGGACTGATACTCGGCCGAAGATATGTATTTGAATAAACCCCTTCCAAAAGTGATGGTTTGAGTTCAAGTATTTTTTGTTTGCAAACAATCAATGCCACATGACTGTAAAAAAGTTACGTATGATAAATTCCTCCTTGTAATGTTTCTTCTTTGCTGATCATTGATATGGATGTGGCAATGACTAAATGCTCCTAGTAAGGATTCCATGATGTCACTGGTTCAGAGTTGCCTCATCGCGTTCCTGCCTAACGCCAGCGTCTCATTATCAATCATCTTCCACTTCAAAAAAAGGCACTTTTATTTGCAGCTGAGCAAAGAGTGTGAGAAGAACACAGTAATGACAGTCCTTTGGCGTTTTTAATTTTGCTGCCTATTCACGTGCTGGGTGGCGAAGGCTTTGATGGCGTTTTGTGACGAAGTGTTCCCGACCGCACTGCACTTGAGTCCTTCTGAATGGAAGCAAGGTGCTGACGCACAAGATATCGCATAGGCTAATGCTTGTCCATTTGAGGTGGAAATTCTATGTAGTGCATTTGGTTAATATGAATGAATGGATGCAGTGTACGTTTTAGCCTGACAATTGCAGCTTCCCAATGTGTTAAATCCCAATGCATTTTTTGAACAGGGAAGATTCACGTGTACACTTCCAGTTTTGCCCAATAACAATTTTTCGCACGTAATCTCCTAAAAACGTTTACATGCATTACCTGGAATAACGATTACAAGGATGTAATAAAGCACTAGGGTCTGTTACTTAAAGGGTTTTAGTACGACGCTCTCAAACCAAATAGGGAAATTCGGGCTCAAACCGTATAAGGCATCTTGGGTATTTGTACGGTTTATGCACTAGATATCAACTAAGTTGCCCTTTTTACTACTCCTGTTTCCTGTTTGTTAGAATTTATCTGAATTGGTTCCTGACTAAATTTTCATTGAATTATCATCGGTTTATTGATTAGAAGATTAAGATATCTATTACAAACTGGTAAAGCGCTACAGATAATCAGAGAAAACCTCTTTGCGAAGGGTCAACCTTATGCTGTTCATTGTCTACATTTGCGTGCGGGAATTTCAGTTCATTGATAAACGGTACAGTTTATCATTTTTTTATGTTTTCTTTGGCAGCTGAATGTGAATCACAGTTTTCTTATTCTTACAGTATTCTACGTTGCTGTGATAACAACGAATTTTATAGAAGAATGAACAATAAGAGAACGCAACAAAACTAGAGAGTTGTGTCAAATCACTGTTTATTCTATTTGGCTTAAATTAAAAGAATTTAACTGACATTTAAAATTCGGCTTTTGGACTTTGGTGCAGGGGTGGTCTAACGGAGTTTCGGCCGGCGTTTTCGGCATGCGTTATTTCATAAAGAACACAGAGTTTTTTTTAAAAATCAGAAAATGTGACCTTACATTGACGATTTTAGAAATCAAAAGTTTTGGTGCAGCATCCGTGGGGTCAACGAATTTCCATCTTCTAATTACTGAACTGTTTGCTCTTCAATACTGACACTGTATGCACCAGACTGCGTATGCAGGTGCTGCCATCAAAACTGTTATTTGTTTATTCATTAAACCAACTTTGTGAACTGTGGTAGAGCCATTAAGGTTATTGTAGTAAAATAGCTATCCGTGGAGAGAATGGGATCTGGGTCTTTTGTTCCCTTTTTTAAGAGATTTAATTTTTCCTACAATGCGAAAGCACCGCCAGATATCATGTTTTTGCGGATTTCTATTGGTCCTTCACCAATTAAGTTTTATTAATGTACTAATGCTAACATAAATATGAAGATAAATGGTACTTAAGGAGCATATTTTGTACTTTTCTAAATAACTTATTACAAACAACCATAAATGTAATAATGAGCATGATGCTATTTTGGCAAATAAGTTTGCCTGCTTGATTAGATATCTTTTTTCTTTAATTAGACTATGCCATCGCTGGATCGATGGTTTCTCCGAATAAGTGTTGGTTTGAATACAAGGGCACTGACTACCAAACTAATAGTGTTGGATGGACAAATTCACCATTTTTCCCCAGCACGTATCCAGCCAACAGCCACTGTCTCTATCTCTTTAGACCCGAAAGAGATCAATCACTGCGCCTGGTTTTTACAACATTCCAGACGTCTGAGGAAACACCACACTCGTCAGCGGGAACCAGCCAATTTCACCAAAATTTAAGAAGCTGTCATAAGGTAAGCTGCAGGCGTTACTTTAATATCCACGTCAATAAGCCAATAAAGCATTTCACCCATCCGCTGACCTTCAAACATTGACTGACTTAGGGCGCACGAATGCATCTCTTTGACGTTGAACGGGCATGGTGATGTGGTTTTAATTTAATCAAAAGGATTTTACTCCAACTGATCTGCTGATTACGCTTTGTACATAAAGTTGGATCAAACGTCCCCCACATGTTGTCTCAAAGTAAAATATCACCTCAAACAATACTGAGTGCTGACATGCAAACATTTCCTTTAAGGCTACTACACAACCCGATTATACGTAGAACATTGTCTTCTAGGCATTTTTTTGTTTTCAACAGGCACGAATGAAAAGTGCAAAATGTCAAGGCTGACCTGAATGACAGAAAATTGCTAAATTTATCTCTCAGGATTTTGACATTCACAATAATTGAAAATCCGGAATTTCTAAGCAGTTATCTCGGAATAGGAGCCACAATTACCTTTTCCTGTGCACTACAATTCCGACCAAAAAACCAGGCTCGAAAAGCATGTTTTGTATGCCTGTTTCGCGCTACCGGTCGTTTTGGCTATTTGGAAAACAAATAGGTTCACCCATCACAGTAGCCAACCCTGGCTCCGTGATACAGAAATTCACATTTAAATGCTCGCTGGTCCAGCCTTTCACCCAGCAAGACTATCATAATTGCAAAAAAAGTATCCTCAACGAACATGTTTTGGTCAGTGAATTTCATCGCGAAATGTGCTGGTTATTAGTGTTTCACAGGCGTAGAAGCGTTTTGAAGATAGTTCTTTTTCAGACGTTTGTGATATTGACGTGGCAGTAGTTGCTCTGTGTTCAAGTCAATTTATTAGGCGTTTTTTTACAGACCGAAGGCAAATTGTTACACCAAGTCGAAATAAGCGACCGATGACAATGTTAATCTTACGTCAGTCGTTGGAGTATCAATTCCGTATAAGTGCATAAAAATTACGTTCGTAGGCATTATTTTCTAATTCATCTGACTTTTTATTGCAGGATTATCTTGAAGTGATCGAAATTCTGCATGATGTAGATGACGACAAGGCCTTATTTCAACAGTTTGCACCATCTGTCTCGGATGACCGATTGAGTCTCAATTCATACAAAATGCTTGTCTCTGGCAGGGAGAACTACAGAATAACGCATTCATTTTGCGGGGACTACATTCCTGGCCCAGTGGTTCCTAGTTCTGAAGCCAAATCACTACTTTTAGCCTTCTATTCAGATGATATCGATGCGGGAGTTGGGTTTCAACTCAAGTTTCAATTTTTACCCAAGTTTGAAATTCAACCGACAGTAGGAAGTAATTTGATGATTTCACTGACAGTTAGTAGTGACGGAAAGAACTTTTACAACAAAGCTCTCTCAATTATTCTAAATTTTATTTTGGCTCAACATGTGGTGGTTTGGCATGCAGACGCATACTGCAGCAATATAAAAATTTTTGGAATTAACTGTAGATGGGGCAGAGATTCTGAGAAAAGTTCTTTAATAAACAAAAGTTTTGTGTCGTCATTTCAAGCAATTTGTGTAACCATTGTGCTGATAACACTTGTAAAATACCACAGATGATCTGACGACTGCGGTTTGATAGATACATCTGGTTTAGTACTGAATGATCTCCAAGTAATCAAAATTTCTTTGGCCTGCATTCTTTTATTTTCGGCACTTTTAGTTTAGGTACAAGTCTTGACTTAGAGATGAACAATTTGGAATTTTACCATGCTAAGTCTAACACCTTAAAGGAAATTACTCCAAGACTGAATCAATTCAGCTGCAAAAAAATAAGTCGTATTTGTCCTGATTTCTTAGATGATACAGAAGAATGTGATTATATCGTAAAATGTATACTTTAGATATTAGCTACAAATAGAAATCAAGTTATTTCGCCTCTGACA